CGACGACGCACCCACCAGGATTATGGGTAGCTGCTGCAGCTCGCCAGACATAACAATAGTCAGCGCTGGTCTGATAAACAGCATATCATGGCGACCTATGCTGACTTTAGCATCAGACCATCTGCCCATAGTCATCTCGATCGATAAACCAACCGACTTTGCTTCCGCGGAACACCGGACCTATGTCAACTTTTCTAAAGCTGATTAGAAAGGCTTCGCGGAATTTACTGAAAACACCTTCGCTGCTCTCCCCACATCAACCGACGTCCACCTTGATGAACGTAAGTTCCGCAGGGCTGTCACCGCTGCTGCAGCTCGCTGTCCTAGCCGATGAGCGTGATAGCCTTCGTCAAGCCGATCCCGCAGATCCCCGTATCAGGGATCTCAACGCGGATATTCGGCAACTAGTAAACGTACATAAGCGGAAGAAGTGGGAAGAGCATCTGAAGACCTGTAACTTCACCTCTGGTGTGAGTAAGCTTTGGTCAACCGTGAGGTCACTGTCCAATCCGACGAAGCACGACGACAGAGTCGAAATTTCTTTCGGCGACCATGCTTCGTCGGACCCGGAGCGATGCGCGAGCTATTTTAGCCGGCAGTTCATACTGCATCCTCCGGTGGACAAAGCCAAGCGTCGAGTGGCCAGAAGGCTGCACAAACTGCTAACAACCTGTGCCCCACGCGCTTTCACTTGCGGTGAAGTTAAGGTGGCCATAGGGAAGCCGAAAGCCTCCAAAGCCATGGGTCCCGACGGAATATGTATGCTTATGCTGAAAAATTTGGGTCCTGCGGGGGTAGCGTACCTAACGGAGGTCCTCAATTTGTCTATGGCCACTCTCATCATCCCAGACATCTGGAAGGTAGGGAGAGTGGTCCCACTGCTCAAACCGGGGAAACCTGCCAACAAAGGAGATTCTTATCGGCCGATAACACTCCTTTCCCCGGTAGCGAAGACACTTGAGGCCTTGCTGCTCCCGTATTTCACAAACCACTTGACCCCAGCGAAGCATCAGCATGGTTTCCGTAAAGTGCACAATACAACAACAGCACTTAACGCCATAAACACTCAGATAACTCGTGGCCTTAACCGAAACCGTCCCTGTGAGAGAACGATTCTAGTAGCGTTGGACTTGTCAAAGGCGATTGACACCGTCTGCCATTCCACGCTACTAGAAGATATTGAGGCTTCCTCTCTCCCACAGAGGCTCAAACGGTGGTCGGCAAATTATCTGAGTGGTCGACACTCGTCGGTAATGTTTAGAGACAAATCGAGTAAACTTATAAAAATAAAACAGGGGGTTCCACAGGGTGGTGTCCTTTCCCCGCTACTGTTTAACTTTTACATTTTGAAGCTCCCTCCACCACCAGAGGGAGTCTCGATCGTCTCTTACGCCGACGATTGCTCGATCATGGCGACTGGGAATGGAATTGATGACCTGTGTTTGAAAGTAAACGGGTATCTCTCCGAACTTTCTCGCTTCTTCACTGCAAAGTGTCTAGCCCTCTCCCCTACGAAATCCTCTGCGACCCTGTTCACAACCTGGACGAAGGAGGTCAGGCTACCGTTGGGAATTCACGTCGATGACACACCAATTCCGACAGTGAACAATCCTAAAATACTCGGAGTAACATTCGATAACCTGCTCTCCTTCTCTGCGCACGCAGCCGCTATTGTCAATAAAGAACAGAGCCGCAACAAGGTCCTCAAGTCGCTAGCCGGCAGTACTTGGGGCAAAGACAAAGAAACGTTGCTGGCAACATACAAGGCAATAGGCCGGCCGGTTTTAAAATACGCAGCGCTAGTGTGGTCGCCGGGACTAGTAGGACGCAGTGGACGAAGCTACAGACTGTACAGAACACCGCACTCAGGACAGCGACACGATGCCTCCTGATGTCGCCCAAACATCACCTCCACAACGAGGCACAAATGCTCCCCATAAAGGAGCACAACATAATGCTCTGCAAGCAGTTTCTGATCGGGAGCCACAGAAGTGGACACCCAAACAGACAGGTGCTTGCAGAGGAGCCCTCGCCTAGGCATGTCAGGAGGCATCTATATGAACTGACGGACGAAGTCCAGAGGTTCATCAAGCAACCTCTGGACCCGTCAGCTTACCGACTGGCCCTGAACGGCATTCATAGGGAGTCAGTCTCGAGTTATGTAGACTCTAGACCTGTGAATGCCGTTCTAGGCACACCACCACCGGACATAGACGAGACGGAGCTTCGTTTGCCTCGGGAGACACGAACGACAATAGCCCAACTTCGCTCTGGCTACTGCAGCAGGTTAAACTCCTACCTAAGTGGATTCAATGAGGATGTGCCAAATGAGTGTCCGGCATGCGGAGAGACCCCACATAACTCGAAACATCTCTTCGCATGCCCGGAAAACCCGACAACCCTAACGGCTTTGTCCTTGTGGATCGACCCGATAGAGGCTGCACGCTTCGTAAGGCTGCCGTTAATGGAACTTGACGACAACGACTGAGATATCTACCGATCTGGGCCGGGTTGTTGTAGCCGCTACAACAACAACAATCTACAATTTTACGCCGCCCCGAACGGCTTACCATTTACTTTCATTTCATTCTCCATATTTAAAATATAGTTTTGATATAAGAACTTATTCAAACCATCAAATACGTTTTCCAATCGACAGTAAGTTTCGTAGATTCGCGTAATTATTTGATTTACGATACCGCTTATATGCCTTCGTTCTTTTATTGTTAATGTTTATAATTATTATAGCGTCGTCGTATAATTATCCAGCTGTCAAGAAGAACAAAAACTCCATATAAAATAACGCACAAGAAATAACTAAGACATTTTCTTGTGCTTTTTCAATTTTCCCTAATAGAAAAATCGTGGTACAAATCTCGATAACAATATTAAAATAAAATGTTAATAACCCATAATAAAAGTTGACAAATACATAGTTTAGGATGAGCCTGCCTGAAACTATACAATAAAGCAAAATTAATGTATAGAATTAACAACCACGCTGTCAAGTATTTTATAAAACCTAAAAATTGGAGTCAAAATTTCTGCGATATTACTTTTGACATTATTAAATCGTCTGGCAGTACCAACTTCGCCATTCAGTTACAACCCTCGCATGTTTACTACTTCACTACTTTTATAAATGTTTTATCGTGGTTAAATTAACAAGAATACCATATTAGTTAAAAGAAAATGGGCATGTGCATTAAAATTGTTTACAATTAAGACACATTTATGTATTTCACGCACTTTTGAATGATAAAGTCGATGCAATTATCAATCAATATATTTGGTGAATTTCGGAACTTTAATAACCAATTACTCAAAAAGAGTCCGCGGGTTTGGGTCTTCACTTTTTGAATGAAAAAACCCTCCCTCAGACCTCCATTTTTTTTTCGTGTCGATTTTTACTAAAATTTTCCCGCCCCTCATTTTATTGGTTATGTCTTGAAAACTATCAAAATAAAAGTTTATGCAATTCGGATCACGGCAACCCGAGCCAGCGCTTAGTCAAAGTTACCAGAATAATCTATGTGCAGTTCGCGTGTTTTGTTAACTTACTAATTTTATTAATATTTAGTAAATCTGCGTTTTTAGTTTTTTACCAGGTTGTCAGGTTTTTTCCAAAGGACCATTAATTACAAATTTTCCAAAGTTTACACACAATAAGGACATATGGGTTTTAATTAAAAGAAAAATTCTAAACAAGATTAACTAAAACTTTTGTTTTCAATTATTCTTTTGGAACATGTCAAAAATTATCCTTCAAGAACTTTAATTTTTAATGCATTTTTAATTTTAGTTTAATTTAAATCCTATAAATATATATAAGGATATTGAAGGATAAAATTTGCTAAGGATATTTTCCTTTACTTAATAGGTTTCGATGTCCTTCGGAGAAATCCTGCCGTCCTTTTATAATTTAAAGATGCAGACTTACTAGAAATGCGTTCAAATATGGGAAACATCGAATTTTTCGCATTTCCAAGGTTTTCGTGGACGATTAATTAAAGTTAACTAAAAGTTGGCGCGGGTCGTCGTTATCCTAGGGCAATAAAATTTCATATATACCTATGCTATTTAGGGTATGCACATCAAAATATGCAAACAAATTTCTGCCCATATATTCTTGGGACAGTCTAATGTACATACAAACAAAGCAAGTTAAATAAAAGCTTGTAAAAAAAAAATATTAAAATTAACTTCTAAACAATAATTTGAGGTGGCACTGCTACTTAAAAAATTTAAAAGTGAAACTAGTACCTTCTTTTTTGTATCATTGGGTTTATTATGTTAATGCCTTTTTTCTATGAAGATTTGCAACTGCTTTTCAATAAGCTTCAATTATGCTTAACAGTTTAATTCTGCAGCTGGAGTTGCAAGCTCAGAGGTATTCCAAATTTCCCAATGCGTTTTATTAAAAATTTAAACAACCGAATAATATGCTTTAACACTTTAGACTTTGTTGCGAAAGTTACTATAATTCCTATCGAAATAGTTCCTAAGTGGAGTATCGGTTTGGTGGAAAAATCCTTCCCGAGAGCGGATAAGAATTGGAAAAATAGCTATATAATTGGCGATGATTTTCACTGAAATGTTGTACCCAATTAGTAATTTCCGCAATAGAAAATGCTGGCAGAGAAGTACATATGTATGTAGGCGTATAATAAAAGTTGTAATGCGATTGGCACAGCAAAATTTTTTATTCCATAAAACGTTAAGTCAAAGCATAAATTTTATACATATGGGCTGCATTTCTTTATTCATTCCGGCCGTTTGTTTTTGTTTACTTATTCTTTAGAACGTTCTTGATGATATGTTAACGTATATTTCAAACGCATTCGGTTTATTTCGGCTGTGAAATGGGATTATCCGGAATGTATAAAGAAACGCAGCCATGAATTTGATCGCATTCCTCGGGCTGTTCACTATTTTTAACTAGCAAAAAGGATACGTTTTTATTTGCATTTGTCTAAAGTAACTAAGCTCATGTCACTTACCATCGGAACTTTTTGGAAGCAGCAATGACGAATCTTCATTCATACTATCATCAAAATCCCCAGCTAAATTCGGTTCCCCCTTAATATCATCTATGATTAACTCAGGTTCACACAATATATTATTTTTTCCATCAAATGTTGAATTTATTTCATAGGCACTGTCTTTCGACGCTTCGCGTTTAATCTTCATACAATCAAAAACGATTTGCAGTGTTTGTTGCTTCTCTTTAATGTTCAACCAAAATCTGTGGAATTCGTTTAGATAACGCCAGCAAACCAAACAAATTTTATTTGAGATTTCATCGTTGAATGTAATCTAGATTTTTGTGCAGATTGATGATAATTTGTAATTAATAAACGGTTGGTAAATAGAATTTAATCAAGTTACCTGAATTTGGAAGTATTTCTCTATAATTTCTTTGGCACCCCCTTCAACTAATTCACCACTTTCTTTGAAGATTTCCAAAAAATCTCCCGGTTTTTTTAAGCACAATCGGCAAGCCATTTTATCAGTGTATTTAATTATGAATAATTTCTTTTTAGTTAAAGCACAGTATAGTTGAAGTATTTCACAAAGTCCTGCAGGGATAATATTTTGCCGAAAAATCCTGTAGTGTTGGTATTCACAATGACGGTTTTGTTTATACGGTTAATGGCCTAAAACACACAAAAACAATTGTGCACACATTAACCCAAGGCGTTTTCATACAAGGTGGTGTTGTTAGATTAGGAATGTAAAAAAACATCGATGTATCGAGCATAGGAATGGAAAGTTGTAAAAAATAATCGATTCTCGAATCTTATTTTATCCTTACGATTCTTGGAATCGGATAATCGACGGCAAGATTCGAATTGTTCGACTCTAAATGAGTCTTTATTTCAATCTTTCTTTCACTTTAAAAATCTATAAAAACGGCCATCAATCATAGGCAATAATGCTATTAAATATAATGAATCAACTAATATTATTGTAAAAAATTTTAATAAAAAATTTTAACAACAAATTTGTGGAAAAATTGCTTCATTTGCTATAAAATGTGAGGTTGACACATATTCACGGTACTGTTTGATATGGAAACTAAATAAATTTTAATTTCCATCCTTCCAGCAAGTCGATAATTGTACCCGTTGTCCGCAATTGCAGCACACTTTAACCAGTTTTAGATCAAAACTCATACCTTATGCATTACATTCGGACCACTTTTAGTACAATTCACCTGTTCTACATTACATGGCTTTATATTTTTGGACTATCTTTGGTCTAGATACAAAGCTACTATACCTACGACTATAATTTTCGAGCGATTGGACCAATCTTTCCTTCAGGGAATGGTTGTTGTTGTTGTTGTAGCGGCTACAACAACCCCGCCCAGATCGGTTGGTATCTCAGTCGTTGTCGTCAAGTTCCACTAACGGCAACCCTAGGAAGCGTGCAGCTTCTGCGGGGTTTGCCCATAAGGACAAGGTCGTTAGGGATGTCGGGTTTGCCGGGCATGCGAAGAGATGTTTCGAGTCATGTGGGGTCTCTCCGCATGCCGGACACTCATTCGGCACATCCTCATTCAGCCTACTCAAGTAGGAGTTTAACCTGCTGCAGTAGCCGGAGCGAAGTTGTGCAAGTGTAGTGCGCGTCTCCCGAGGCAGATGAAGCTCCGTCTCGTCAATGTCCGGGGGTGGTGTGCCTAGAACGGCATTCACAGGTCTAGAGTCTACATAACTCGAGACTGAGTCCCTGTGAATGCCGTTCAAGGCCTGTCTGTAGGCTGTCGGGTCCAGAGGTCGCACAGTTTGCTTTACTTGAACTAAACAAAAAACGACCCAACACGCATACATCATACAACCAGTGATCGGACTTATACCACATTGCGGTAGATCTGCCAATTTTTTAGCATCTACCACATATTCGCGTTTTTCAGTAGTTTTATTTTTGCTCGACATAATTTTATTAATTTTAAGAGCAAAAATTTTCCAACACTAAACACCATCAACAGACAGAATGGGAGGATAAAATAAACCATGAAATAGTAAATTTTTTCAATATTCAATTTTTCGACAGGAAACATGGTTTTATTGTGTTAAATTGCAAAATATATGATTTATAAGAAAGAATTAATAGCGAAAATGTTAGAAAAACGGCGATTTTTGTGAAAGTATTAGAAAATTTCAGTGCATCTAAAGTAAAGCGTTGTTTACTTTTACTTGAGAATTGTCAAAATCGGCAAATCCCAAGTAGCGGTTTCTGGAACGTGCCATATTTGTCCGCTGCATTGCGATTGATAAAAATATAAGCTGACAGCACTACGCGAGGTTGCAAAAATCTTTCAAAATATGTTCGAAAAATATCTTAATATGGAAGGAACTGCTTTACACTGTCAAAACTCAATGGATTTTTTAGCAACTTCAATCTTGCACTTTATTATAGTAAATTAATTTTTTTAGGATCTATTTAAATTTTTGCAACTTAGGTGAAGCCTTGCAGAATATTTTTGATTTTTGTACAAAGTTTGATCCAAAACCTGAGATCTACCACATTTTTTGAAATCTACATTTTTTTCCAGATTCTACCACAAGAATTTTTTTCAAATCCGATCACTGCATACAACCGTTGAGCGACAGCTCCAGTAGCGCACAACCTGCTGGCTCAGCAGCTAAACTTCGACTGGCAAGCAAAGCAAATAAATAATTTTTCTCGCTGTGCAAGAAAGCTTTTTAGGCTTTATCCAGCGCTGCCGTAATCATACTTGATGTATATACACATCCATGATTCAATAATACAAGGTAAGATAGTTATTGACAGCATCGAAGGACAGAAAAATCTGGCATTTTAAACGAAAAATTGAACGAAATATTAATATAAGTATCTACGTGAATTACGTAATTTATGTGCTATTAAAAACAATTTATGTTTTCATCAGTTAAATGTGCTTCATATGCATATACAAATAAACATATTGCACAAAAGCTTATACTTCTATTTCACAGCAAAGCTTCATTTTTTCCAAGTAAATTTGCAAAGAAACAACACGGTGCCGCTGCTAAGGGAGCAGTGCGAGAGAGACAACTGTCAGTTTATCGCACCTTGTATCAGCGTACAGTTTCCTAAGTAAAAACACTATCAGCTCATTGCCAAAAAATGCCCACAACTGGGATCACCTGCTTTTTGGCATTTGCTCTTATCTTTTACAATTTCTTTCATTTCTATTGTAATTTCTTCCATTTCTATTACAATTTATTCAAAATACACTAAAACTATGTTCACATTACCAACATAAAATACTTAGTTTCGTTTAAAATACCTCACTAAATTAAGTGCGTTCATACACGCTATTCTTTATTTTTCTTTACAGCTTTGTAGCAACCCTGTGTTATTGTTTATTTAACCAAAAGAGATCGTGAATGTGAGTAATTGCGTATATTTTTATATTCTGAGTTGTTTGTGGTAATTTTTTAGATTTTAGATGAGTGATCAAAAGAGAAAGCTTCTGGAAATAT